CGAAGCTTGCGGTGATCCTGATGTGAGAGATTGCACTAAGTGCCAAGGCTGAACGCTTGCTTCTTGACTGGATTCCAGTCAGTAGCCGACTATGCGTTGTATGTCCCAACGGGCCAACAGCCGCAGAAGCGTCGATGCTTATTCGTCGTATTGGTGTATGCACCGACCGATTGCAACGCACCTGAAATCAAGGTGAATTCCACAAGGACCTTTCTCAGTTACTCCAAAGCGTTCGATCAACGGACGTCGTCGTACTTGCCGGAGACTTCAATGCAGTGGTGGGGAGAAAAGAGAAAGTTGCGGCTGTTGGTAATGGAAACTAGACGTGAGGTGATTAGGGAATCCGATGGCACACTGATTCACCATCAGCAACGTCATCTTGATCGATCGGCTGGACATTTTGAGGCCCAGCTCACCGACATTTGACGTATTACCCCCACCTCGACTGGGCAAATACACCCAGTTGATGTCAGTCCTCCATCTGAAATGGGGACTTCCCGGAAAATAAGCTATCTCGAAAGTTATAAGGCCTCTAGTTCGCATGGGCTATCCTAATCGGTTTTAAGGGACGAAAGTTCAGCCTCGGTTTCGGAATTAGCGAAACTCCTAGGCTGTGATGGAGAGGGAACAGATTCTAACGGAATGGTGCGATTCGGCCATCATACAGATTTATAAGGTGATAGGTCCTCTTGTGAAAACCACAGGAATTAGTTTAGTCAACATTGCCTCTAAACTTCTCGCTGGGACTCTACTCCGTCGGGTGTCAGCCGCGCGTAAACGGCGCACGCCTGACAGCCAGGCTGGTTCTAGACCTGATCGAGGTTGTATCAACCGCATCTTCACTCTTCACCAAACTCTGGAGGATCGACATTCTTTTCGTAGGCCCACCATTTGCATCTTCCTTGATCCGAAAGCGGCTTTCGACTGAGTCGACCGCCCCAAACTCAGGCGCTGCCGTTCCCTGAAGTGTGCCCGAGAAGTTTAGTCCAATAGTACGATCCCTTTATAGCCGGAGTGGAGTCCTAGCTTACGGCACTCTCGTTTGAGTTTACCACGAAAGTAGTGTTCTTCAGGATCGCACTCTCTCTGCTATTTAACTGTGATTTAATAATGAAAACAGCCCTATCCTCTTACGAGGATAGTGGTATCGATTTTCTCTCAGATGGCTATGTCTGATCTGCAGTAGCCAGACGACATTGCTAAGTGAAGACCCAAAAAAGTTGCAAGCTTTTCTAGATAGCGAGTGCCAGCGTAGCCATGCTCGGTATGCGTTTCGCACCCTCAAAGTGTAAAATGTTACAAGACTGATTTAGTTGCATCTGACTGGGTGCTGGACCAACCTGGTCGGTCGGGACATATATTGCGCATGACACCATATAGATTTCAACTGCGCGCGATGTTTACCAAGGTAGATGGTGGGTGGAACAAAGCCAAAGTTGATCAAAATAAGACCTGGCACGAGGGTAAGAAATCCCTAACCTAGGGTCGCAGCTCATGTTAAGCTCCCTGGCTGGGGACTTCGGAATGATCGTAACCAGAAGCTGGAGACAGTGATACGGCTATAGTGAACAATGGCGTTCGTACACCTAAATTTCTTCGCAACACTAGTCCACTGAAGTTCTCCATTCTTTACTCGACTTTGCTTTGAGCCTTCCTGTTCTTCTCTTACTGCTTCGTCCAAATGGGCAGCTAAAACCGGCGCACGAAAATGTATGGTTATTAGTTCTACAAACTGAACCAATAGCTTGTTTTGGTTTTTACGTTCATTGTGGCTAAGACAAGCTATTTTCTTCAATAATAATGGGCACGACGCCCATGTTTTTCAGTGAGATCCGCTCCATGGATCTGGTGTGATTAAGCGAGACCAGTGAACACAAATTCAGCAACCGGAACACCCACAAGGAACATCATCGAATGTGATACTACAGCAGCCCAGTAGTTATTTGCGGTAAATGACTACCTTCCAAGACATTTTCCATTAGTACACTGTCAATGCAGACTACAACATCCAAGAGCCGATGGTTGTACAGACAGATTGGCAGATGAATAAAAACCGGTGAATACAATCCAAAGCTGGTAGTCCACCAAATATGCATGCTGCAACACTTAAGGATGTACCGAAAGCAGACGCAGAACAATGGCAAAGCGCGGATTTTTCAGGTACTGAGGAACACCGAACGCGTTCAAATCCTCTTCAACCCACGTTAGACACGATAAACTACCCTGACAATCGTGGTTTTGCGAAGCCCAAGAAAATGCGCCTTTCGGGTATGAACAGAGCGGAGTCACAACAGTGGCGTTCTCGCCAAGCAACAATACACCAGACAGTTTTACTCCCTGGGATGAGGACAGCAACACGAAATCGAGTTAAATCCGACGTGAGACTAAATGTGATTCGTGATCCGAGCAGCATCGCGAATGGCGTTTTTTTCCGACTGAGTGCACCTCGGTGAGCAAAAATTTCAAAAACCGTTGTGGAAGAGCGATGCTTAGGCCTACCTCAGGTAGACCTCATTAATCCCGGTACGCTGTGGTCAGTTGTGATTTGTCTAAAACCAAGAATTGTTAAGCGTTAAAAAGCAGTCCACGCGATTATCTACCTCACTTGCATTTGTTCTATAGAGCATCACAAGCTCTTAGTTTCCCCTCATCCATAGAGCGGATGAGTGGGCAAACCCAACACTGACCCATGCCGGCCATTAGTTCAAATGCTTTGATCGGTGCTACGTAATCAAAAGCTGATGTCGGCACTCCGAGTTTGCTTGTCCAAGTCCAACCGAGCTCACGATCGTAGAAATCAGCCAATTTAAATATAAGAGCACGACTTACCTGTGATGGCTATCAATGGGAACGCTGATCTCAACAACCGATCGAAAAACGTATAAACGAAGCGACGTTCGAGCGATCATTCCCTTTCGAATGGCCCTCGGTCTATGGGTCCAACTGTCGAGATTCCGTAGCATCAGCACAACCCATCCGCTATTGTTCAACATGAGAAAAGAACGGTCAACAAGATTGTTCTATATTCACAGATGACTTGTCCAAGTTTAGGCAAAAGTAAGACAATGCGATCATTGAAAACAATGTATTCATTCGGCCACGGGCTGTACCGCTAGTTTTCAGAATGCTATGGACTACACCTGCAAGGCGTCTGTTGAATTTACAATGATTTATTCCTTCGGCTTCTTGGGCACGCGGTAAGAAGCATACAGCTCCTTGAACTTGTCGAATCCAGCCAAAACACCACCACCGGCGACACCACGCAGAATGTTCGCTCCGGCACCTTTCATCAACGACAAGAAGCCCTCATTTCTCAGGATCTGTGCTGCGCAGTCAAGTGAACTCTTGTATTTGACGGCCTGACCTGTAAAAATGATTTGTTAAAAGTTCAGTATCCAACGTACCTGAAGTCATCATCATGCGACGACGGATGGTATCAATGGGATACGAAATGAGACCAGATGTAATGGTTACACCATAGCCCAAGCAGAAGCTGATGGCTACGCCAGCATCAGGACCAAGGACGATGGGCTTGATGGTATCGTACAGACCGAAATAGAACCCACGGTAGACGATGATTCCAACACACGAAATGACGAAACCTCGATAGAGACCAACAATACCGTCGCTCTTAAACGTCTTTCTGTAGCAAAATGAATAATATTGTACGTACTTACACATAGACGTCAACCAGGCCATTGAATTCGCGGGAGCCGCCTTTTTTGGCGGATTTCGCATCGTTAGCCAAACGGGTTCGGGCGTAATCCAGAGAGTAGACAAACACCAGTGAGAGGGCACCAGCTACGCCACCACTGACGACATTTTTGTAGAACGATACCAGGTAAGGTTCGTCCTTCTGAATCGTAAATGCTGCCTTCACTTTATCTTTGAAGGCGAAGTTGAGGGCCTGGGTCGGGAAATACCGCAAACAGTTTGGGAGGTTACCACGCCAGAAAGGCAAAACGCCTGAGAAATAAGCATTTTCATCCAATCAAATCATACCTTCCGTTCTAAAAGTATGCATTGTGCAATCAACCACACCACGGTAAGGCCGTTCCAGGCGACCCTGTTTGATCATCTCATCTTGATTTTGGATGAGAAGCTTTACACGCTCAATCGGAGCAGCAGCTGTCTTTGCGATAACAGCTGCAACACCGCTGAGCATAAAATTCTCAGCGAAGCTGAGGCCCTTGATTTGTTTACCACCCTCACCCATGATGGAGGACTAATGACAGCGGGGACGCGCAGCGGCGGGAGAACACAAACTGTATCGCCTGAGAAGCAGTAAAACAAACCGAAGAAATCTTCCAGTAGTAAACCCAACTTGCGAAAAACACACGATGAATCCCCTATCTAAAAGGAAATTGATATGCTTTTGCTTCAATTAAGCAACATAAACTACTCAATGATACAATACCGTTATGCCATAGCCGATTTTGGCGGTACGTTTGAAATCAGTTGTATTCCTCGCTCATCTCGCTTACGTTGGTAAACTTCCTGTGAAAGATAAACCGCCACATTGGTTTAAGTCAACAATCAGTGTTATTTATAAAGTTAGAGTTTCAAGTCACCTAAATCACGAAAATACTACGGAAAATTTCGCGAAACTAACCCGAAAATTTCACGAGAATAATACGAGTTTGCAACAGTCTTTTTTCGGCATTAAAAAGAACCCCTACAAGGAGGTGGTTATAAATTCACCTTTGCATTATAAAACGATTTTTATGCTTCCAGTTAATAACGGAACACTGCCTACGCGCAAATTATCTGTTCTTAACCGATAATAACCCAATAAACTCCTCTATGCAAAAAACGACATTTTTCAAAATGAATAATTTATTCTATATAAATAAAAATAAATGTTCAAATTAACGGTAGAAATTATTCGCTCGCACTTCATCGGTGTACATGGGATTTTTCATCCTTGATCCCGATTGAAATCCGCGAATTTGTATTGATAGACGGCTTCTGTTAAGAAATTGGAAATGTTAGAAAAGGTAAGTTATATGGATATTGACCTGGTGATTTACACTGACATCGGCGAATATGTACATATGTATAGTTATGTATAAATAGATAGATATGGATAAACGCTGTCCCCTCGTAGGTAGATAAAGAATTGTCAAATGAAATACATATAAAAACAGTCGGTATATTCTAATTAGGTATGTATAAGTTAATGGTCAAACGCATGCCGTTAATGGTAAACGTTATGTTATATATGCGAACGACAGAAAACAAATACAAATATACACATTCATTTGCCTATATGAAGACTTTTACATATCAGTACACTTGCAAGAACCGAAATAGATTCCAGAATAATAAATTACCTAAGACAGCTTCCGTAATGGGTGATGTGGACAATGCTTTTCCCCTGTATTCCGTTCCAGTTTAGTTGGGATTCTAAACTTCGGCTGATAACTCGTAGTAATAAAATGTGAATGCATTCAGCCACTGAGTCTCCACCGCTGGATAAAAGATATTCAACCTTTAAAGTAAAACCGTGAATAATGTATTGCCCAGTAACTCACGAATTGTTTGAAGAATTCAATGTTTTTAATTTCTTGGGACAGTTCATTAAATGATTCAACGGTCGCCAACGGTAACTTTTCGGTGAGCGGGTAACACTCCGGATTAAGAACTGCCTTCATTTGTGAGTTCAGCTCATTCAACTGTCTTTGCATGGAGGCTACGGACAGACGAATATGCAGTAAATATCCCGTTATTTCGGATCAAGTTGTTTTAGGCAGTAAGAGAATGCTTATCAGTTCTGGGTGGATCCACCATCATTTGGAGTATTAAAGGTTCGGGGAAATGAGCTAGTGGAACCTGTTGCGATGAGCTTTTAAATTAAACGAAAATGGAATGCAAATGCACGATGATTTACGCTTCACCGGAATGGGTTCACTGTTTCTGGCTCATTTGATTACTGGTTGACTGATCTAAGTCAACATTGCCAATGAACGAGTCCGCTACTGTTAGAGCGAGGGGATAGTTTATGGGACTTGTAACTGGGGCACTGAATATTGGTGGACAAAGGTCACAAGGGACTCAGATTTACGGAATAGGTGCCAAATTCTCGTTTGTCGCCGACAGAGGTTTAGGTGCCTCGGATATTGCACATTAGGAACATATGTTGCCTTGCTCATCTTCCGCTTCGGTCAGTCGAACTCATATTCACTATCATGGACCAGCGCTACATCAATGAGTAACAAGGATCTTATTTGAAAGCTCACCTTTTTCTTTCATAGGCCAATAGCAGTAGTGGCATCTGATGATGGAACTTCTAGTTCGTTCTTCGTACATTAAGGCTTTAATATAACTCTCTGCATGGGAAAACCGTATAATCCAGTAATCCAGTTTACCTGTCGCCCTAAGCAATAGGGAATGGAAAAGGTTTGCGCAATGCCATAGTCACACCGCCTGGCATTAGTATACT